TTCTGGTGGGCCAGCTGCCTCGTGAACCTCACGAGTTGCTCGGTCGCGCGATCGCCCGCGGCATTGCCCCCCTGCGCGTCGCCATAGAGGAGCCCCGCGCTGCGGCCAGCAGCCGCAAGAGACGCGTCAAGACCCATGTCGGCCTCGTCGCAAGATTTCCCGGTGTCCTCGGCGCCGTTAAAGCCCAGTCGAAGAAGACCAGCTCCTCCCTGACGTTGCTGCCGCAGGCTGGCCGCTTGACGCGCGGGCCCTCGGGGCCCGCTCCGAACGCGAGCGCGGGGCGCCAAATCTTGAACACCGCGTGGCCAGAAGCCTCGCGCTGCTCCATCTCGACCTCCGTCGGGGCGCACAGCGCCTCGACGACAGTGGCCTCCGTCGCAGGTTGGCCGTCAACTTGCTGTCGGCACCGCACCTCAACTGCCGCCTTGAAGTCGAGGTCCTGCTTGTGCTTGAGCTCGGCGTGCTTGGGGCGGGCCCGCACCTCCCCCTTCGCGCCGCAGATCGCAGCGCCCAGCTCTCTCAGGCGAGCGCGCGGCAGGGCAGCTCGAGAGCCTGGCCCCAGCCCAGCTCCTGCTGGGCCCCTCACTGGACGCGGCACAGCCTTCGGCCCTGGCGGCCCTCCTGCCGGCCCAGCCGCCGCCGGGAGACCTGCCTCCAGAGCCGCGCCGCCAGACCCCGACTAAGCCGACCCAGCGCCCTCTGCCACGGGCACAGGCGCTGCAGCTCCATCAGCCTGGACGGCCCCCTCGCCCTTCATCACCACGTCCTCGTTGGCCGCGACGGCGCCCATCGGGGCGTTGGGATAGCGACTCCCTGCCACGCCCACTCGGCGCCCTCCACGTCCTTGCGCACGCTTGCCGGCACCCTCAACGTGTTCCTCTCCCGAATCATCGGAGACTCGATGCAGTTGCCGCTGGGCTTGGCGCGACCGACGCAGCACCCGTCGCTGCGCGAGTAAGACCACGTCGAAGACCGCGTCGTAGACCCCACCAGTGCCGAGCAAGTGCGAGCGAAAGGGCCGATCTTGAGGTTGGCCCGGCAAACCACTTGACCTCCATTCCCGAGAAGAACCTGCGCCTCACCCTCGAGAGGCATCTCCTGCTTCTGGGCGGCGATCAGCTTAGAAGTCGGCTCCTCCACCACGCTGCGGTTGGCAAAGCTCCGCCTCGCACAGCGCTCGTCACTCCCGCCGTCCAGCATCAAGAGCTCGTCGACGTCATAGTCCAGAGGCCGCGCACCATTGCCGATGGGCATCACCAACTCGTCGTCGCCGGGGTGGCACAAGAATTCGCCCTCCAGCTGGTCTCCGATCGAGTCCTGGTCGTTTTAGTCCACCCGGTCCCCGATCGAGCCCTGGCCGTTGTAATCCACCTGGTCCCCGATCGCGCCATGGAAGTCGAAGTCCACCTGGTCCACGATCGAGTCCTGGAAGTCGTAGTTCTCCAGCGCCATGCAGAAGCCGCACTCGTCGGAGTCGTCGTCGCTCGGCGCGACCATCGCATTGACCTCGCCCCCCTGCTCGACGAGTTTGACATCGCCTTTCTTCCTCTCTTCCTGATCCTTCTGGAGCTTGGAGCAGTCATCTTTGATCTGGTCTTCTTCTTGCAGTAGTGGCAGTTATTGCATTGGTTGCCCTTGCCTCCTCCAGCTTGGCCACCGCCATGGCCGCCCTTGCCTTTCTGGTCCTTGGCCTTGCCCTTAGGGCCCTTGCCCTTGCCCTTGAGCCAGCACTGGTCTGCCGCGTGGCCGAGCTCCTTGCAGATGCCGCAGCGGGGCTCATCGAAGCCGGTCGCGTCGACCTGGCCAACGGCGCCCAACTGCATCGGCGCTGTCCCTGAGCCTCGAATCGGGAGGCCTCGGGACACAGGCCTTCGCGTTCTTCTCCATGCAGTACTCGTGAATCCTACTCCGCATCACCGCGCAGTTATCCCTGACCTCCTGGCTCGCGCCATCGAGGACCTTCCTGATGGGGAGAGGCGCTTGCCCGAGGATGGTCGTCCACTTGAGCCTATCCGAGACATTGTCATGGATTGCCAACTCGTACTGCGTGATCAGGTAGCCCCATTCATGAAGAACTTGTGCAAAGCTGCGCCTAGAATGGTCATCGCTCGTCCACCACTTCGGCTGAAAAGTCGTAGTGAGCAAGCTGTGTTCCGACGCGCCTCCTTGAGGGCGATAGTCTGACTAGATTTGCCTCAGAACCCCGAACCCGTTACCAGCACCAGCAAGTTTAGCCATCGCCTGCGCCTTCCCACGCAACTGCATTGCCAGGAACGTGCCCATGTTGCGTGACAGCTCCAAGATCTCGGCATCCGTGCTATCCTCGACCCTGATGGGGCCACTGCGAGTGACCGCCGCACAGTAGAGGCTCCTCCAGCCCATCTCCGTGACTGCAGCCTCCAGCGTGAAGATGCAGCTCTCGAGCTCGTCCTGGCCACCTCCGAACGTGTCGTGGGCCCGAACCTCCGCTAGCGACCACATCTGGTACCTGCCGCCAGACGTCAGCGTCGCCATCTCCACAGCGCCTGCTGCCTCAACAAGCGCGCGCCGCGGATCATTGCCTCAGTGAACTCACGGCTCCGCTACCATGTCTTCGCCTCGGCGTGTGGGCGAACCTCCAAAACGCCCCGACTTGTCTGAGCCTTGATAGCAGCGGAACAGACACTACACTTGATCATTCCTGCCACCAGCCTGAAAGAGAGGGACACTGGAATTGCTCACACATCCTCCACAGAGACGCGAATGCAGCGAATGCACGCATAGCACCACAAACACACACACACACACGCACACACACACACACACACACACATACACACACACACACACACACACTTTTCGGCGGTCGCGGCCTCTCTCCCTCACACCCACACGCACACACACACACACACACACACACACACACACGCACACACGCACACACGCACACACGCACACACACACACACACACACACGCACACACACACACACACACACACACACACACACACACACACGCACACACACAAGCACACACACATGAACAATTGGCGGTTCCCCACAACAACTGCATAAACATGAATGGGCGGCCCGCGCGCACCTCCAAAGGTCTACGTGTTTCTGCCGCCATTTCTTGCTTCTGGACAGAGGCCTCCCAAGAACGACCTGTCTGACTACACACCTAGCCACCCCCACCCAGCCCGAAGTCGCCGTTGGACCTGTCCATTTCCAGTGGGGGGACAATCCAGAACACTAATAGACCACACCAGAGCCCGCACAACCCCGCGACGCAAACCTTTCGGGGAGTTACGGGGCCTCCGGGTTGGGTGGGGATTGTCTGGCAGGGTAAGTCAGCATCGACTAGGGAAATCGAATCGGATCGAAACGTTTTCCGAATAGGACCGCATCAGCTCGGAGTCGGAATCGAACCGAACCGGCGACGCCAAAATGCATATCAACGCCATTCAAATATAGATTTCTCGGATCCGCGCTGGACCCCCTCTGGCACGCGGAGCGCGCCAGGGGCGCCGCCCGAGGCGCCGCCGCGGGGCTCCAGCGCCGATCTGAGAAATCCGCGCGGACCTCCAAAAGCGCATGCCCATGTGCTTGTTTGCTCCTCGATGGTAAAGTCTCGGGGAGACGTCAGACTCGGGCTCGGGGGACTCGGGTTGGCCTGACGCTGCCGCCAGGGAAGTGACGAGACCCGGTCTGAAATTTAAACGCGAGCTCCCGCGTCAAAAACACCCCACGACAACTGGGCCCTCCAAATCCAGAACGGGTCCGTCAACAAGCGTCGGGCGGGACTTAATGGGGGGGTCATAAACGGGGGGGTCAGAAAAGGTCCCATTTCGTACCCCTTTCGTGCCCCTCCAGGGCCCCAGGGGGCTCGTTTAGGTACCGTTTGGGTACCTTTTCGAACCACCCTCGCCACCCCCCCATTTATGACCCCCCCATTACGCGGCGCCCAAAAGCGTCGGCATAAACGAGCTCCGGCGCACCCGTCGATCGGAAGAGGTGGGCAGAAACATGACGCGGGAAGGCGTTCGGCGTTGAAAGTAGGTTGGGCCTCCGCCCGCTCTCTGAGGACGAGGGAAGAAGTAAGACCAGTCCACTCTTGACGTAGAAAGGCGCCTGAAATAGATTGAAACTTGGGCGTATGGAGCGCACAAAGACATACTAGAACGACGTGTCCTCCTCGGAGGCGTGCGCCCGACCTGAACATAGAGTACAGCCGTATGGAAGAAGCTCTTTTCCCGAGCGGCACGGCGAGGAAGCGTCCACCACGGAGCTTGTGCTATAAGACTTCTCGGCGCGCGCGTCACCCCTGGGGGGGGGGGGGGGGGGGCGACACACACATACACACACACACACACACACACACCGACGGCCGGACCTTGGACAGAAGAACATCCTTCAAGAACATGAGACCCTCCGCGAATCCAACTGAAGAGCATTCGAGGGCATCCTCACCCAGGATGCACACGAGCATCCAACAAGCACGAAGAACAGCAGGGCACCCTCCCCGAACCGACCTCGATCGTATACCTCGGCCCGACCATAATATTAATATGGTGGGGCCACGCCGATAATCCGCAGGCCAGAATAAGTGTCAATTGGTTTCTTGGCCCCCCCTCTGTCACGCACGGGCTCGATTGGTGACCCCCTCCGTCACGGCGGGGCTCGTTCTGCGAGCGAATTCTTCTGCCGCGGGAGCCCCCGCTGCGACTGGAGGCGCTAGATGGGGAAGAAAAACACGACGGCTGCAGGGGCATCGGGGAGGGGAAGGGTAACCCGCCTGGAACATATCCCTCTCCCTATGCTGGGCAGCTCCTCATCACGATCCCAAGCTTAGGGAGTCCCTTCCTTTTCGAGGGCGAACCCCGAAGACTGCCATCGCCTCTTGGCGTGTCAATCTCAGGGATAGGGATACGCTCGAGGCTGGTAAAAAAGGGGAAGGATCCCTCCCGAGCCGCACGTCTCTCTATCCAAAGAGCCGTGGCTTTCGCCCGGCCCCGGCCGCCGCTCTCGCCGCCGCCCTCGCCGCCCTCGCCGCCCGCCGCGCCGCCGCCCTCGCCGCCCTCGTTGCCGCCCTCGCCGCCCCCGCCGCCGCCGCCCGCGGCGTCGCCCGGGGCGCCCTCGGCTCCTCGGCAGGGGCGAGGGGGCGAGGGCGGAGGCCGGCCCGCAGGGCGCCTGTGAGAGGGGCCCATAGGGGCGCACAGAGGGCCGCCACCCTCCCCCCCTCCCCGCGAGATTTCCAGGGGCGGAGGTGGGGCTCCCTTCGTGCGGGGGCCTCCCGAGCGGAGGGAGCCCCCCGCCTCCCCCCCATTTGGCAAGCGTGGGGGTGGTGGTGACTACCTACCAGACCACCCCAACCCAACCCGAAGACCCGAATTTCGGGTTGGGGGGGGTAAGGGTTCCACGCGTGTTTTTTCGATGTTCCCCGACCACCCCCCCACTGGAAATCGACGGTAAATTTGAGCCTTCGGGTTGGGTTGGGGTGGTTTGGTGGGTGGTGAGGTGGGGGTGGGGGCTCGCGTGCGGCCTCCTGGCCTGGCACGTGGCGGCGTGGTGGAACGCCAGGTGCTGCCCAGCAGGGTCTCGGCCCTCGTCCGAGGGGCCCCCGCCTCCTCGGGAAGCGCCTCGCCGCGGGGTCCCATGGCAGCTCCCTGGGGCTCTCTCAGGCTTCCGCGACAGCCCAGGAGGCCCCCAGGACGGCCCACGAGGGCCCCGAGTCGCCGAACAGTCGCTCGAACACGCCCAAGATAGCCCCAGGATGGCGCAAGAGGCTTCCAAGGCGCCCCAAGAGACTTCCAAGAGGTCCCCCAAAAAAGCAAGAAACAGTAATTTCCCTTGCGTCTTTGGAGGATTTGGGCGTCCTCGCCTTTTCTGCTTTTCGACGCCCCAAGACAGCCCATGAGGCCCCAAAGACAACCCCAAAACGGCCCAGGAGGCCTCCAAGAGGGCCCCAAGATAGCCTAAGAGCGCCCCAAGACGGCCCAAGAGGCGCCCGAGACGGCCCAAGAGGCGCCGAAGGCGGCCCCAAAAGGGGCCCCAAAGAGGGAACACGAACCGAAAATCCAAGCCTTCCGCCCCAAGGAGCCCCAGGAGGCCCCAAGAGACGCCCAAGAGGCCCCAAGAGGCCCCCAACAGGCCCCCAAGAGGGCTCAAGAGGCCGCCCAAGGCGCCCCCGAGAGGCCCCAAAACGGATCCCAAGAGGCCTGCAAACTGCCTCCAAGAGGCCCCGGAGAGCCCTGCCATGAGATTCCAACGAACATCCACTAGGCTTCTAACCCACGACCCAGGCACGGTGACGGGACTTGCCGTAGGCAGATGGATAAATAATGAGCCCCCCGCAGTTGCGGATAAGAGTGAGGGGGCGGCGGGTACGTCGGCAGTCTGCGAAGCTCTGAAGAAGCCCGCCGCAGGCGCAGAATTCTTCAAGCTATACAACGAGCCCGCCGCAGGCGCCGATTTCTTTGTAAAAACAATGTGGGCGGGTCACGGGTTGGGTCGCGGGTGGGTCGCGGGTGGGTCGTCGGTGGGTCGCAGGTGGGTCGCGGGCTGGGTCGCGGGTGGGTCGCGGGTGGGTCGCGGGTGGGTCGCAGGTGGGTCGCGGGTGGGTCGCGGGTGGGTCGCGGGGTGGGTCGCGGGGTGGGTCGCGGGGTGGGTCGCGGGGTGGGTCGCGGGGTGGGTCGCGGGGTGGGTCGTGGGTGGGTCGACGACAATAAACAACAACAGCAACAGCAACAGCAACAGCAACAGCAACAGCAACAACAACAACAACAACAGCAGCAGCAATTACAACAACAACAACAACAACAGCAGCAGCAGCAGCAGCAACAACAACAACGCAACAAGCATAATCCTCACCACGGATTCTCCATGCAGCCACGCGCCCAAGGACAGTGAATGACCGTTCGGCCCCCTCACTCTGATAAGACGAAGCCAGGAAGAGGATAAAGTCGGGTGAGGACAAATCGAGTCTCTGAGATACAGCGTCTCAGCAGGTTGTCTCTGGCGCCGGGGCCTTCTCAGAGTGTTCCGAAAAGGTCCGAGAGCGTTCAAAAACGCTCTGGAACGGATTTATCCTCGTCCTAGCCCCGTCCGGAAATAGACACCACACACCAGGATTCCCCATATTTCCAATATTTTCTGGAGGCTCGTCTCACCCTCCACTTCCCATATGTTCCTGGGAATCGTCGATTGGTTGTGTCTGTGTTTTTGTTGTACCCCCTCCTGAGCCTGCCAGGACCCCCCGACTCTTCAAAACATGGACCCAACACCACAAGATGAGTGGGAACAAAAGGAAGAGGAGGAGGAGGAGGAGGAGACGAAGGAGAAGGGTGACAAGACGATGGCATTGTGCGGGCATTCCCTCATGGTCCGACCGAACATGTATAGAAGCAGGCCCGCCCGAAAGACAGGTCCACCACGTCGACAGGCCCGTGCGCTTGGTCCTAAGGTTACACAAGGGCGAAACATCGAAGCACAAATCCGACTTCACACAAGTCCAATTTCTGCGTGGTGCAGAATTGCGGTCGGGACTCGCTGCTTGGCGTGCTGTGGCGGCGGTTCCGGCGACACGCTGTGCCCATCGAGTGGATAACGTGTCGCTCCGCTACGCGGGGCTTGGAGGCCTGGAAATGGGCACCAACACCAACACAGGGATTTGCCTCCACAGGAGAAAAATGATCCTAGATTTCGGTGTTGGTGGTAGTATTTCGGTCACCTCGGAAGCCAGAAAATTACAACCATCACCGAGATCGGGATATCAGGCCTGCGAGGGGCGGGAGGCTCGGAAAGGCTCAGGGCGCTGACACCTGGATACCAGGACCTGGAGAGCGTGCCGCGCCGAAGCGTCATGGGCCACAACCGGCGCGGCACGCCAAGCCAAAGCTCCCGGCCGCACGTGGCAACGATTTTCCAACCGAAGTTCGCAGACTCTCGTTTGTGACGCTCGTGGAGCAGCAGCCACTGCAGCGGATGGCCATGGCGATAACTTCTGCTGTGTTGCGAATGCGACTACATGATATTGCCATCGGGATACAGTCGGGGCGTTGACCTAAGGAACCCTAAATAAGGAACGAGGCCCCTGTTTCCCTTAACTTAAACTTCGACTCCCCATGGACAACCTAAGGAAAACCCAAGGCAAACTGTAAAACAATCAAGGAACACCAAGCTCCTCCCCAACGAATAGGGTTCCTTCTTCAGCGCCCCGACTGTTACCGTCCTAGGCGAAACCTCAGTGGGCAAAGTTTAGCACATCCTGGCCAAATCCCTGTCAGGCTGAATACATCCACAACTGGAGCACCATCATTCCTGCCCGGATCCATGAGCACCGCATGCGGCGTTCCACAACACCATACTGGTGACAGCCGATCCTCTTCGATCCTCCTCCTCCTCCTCCTCCTCCTCCTCCTCCTCCTCCTCGTCCTTTGATGTCGTCGGTTCCCGCCCCCTCGATGCTCGCTCTCGGTTATCCTCGATCCTCCTCCCCCTCGGTTCTCCTGGACCCTCCTCCTCCTCCTCCTCCTCCTCCTCCTCCTCCTCCTCCTCCTCCTCCTCCTCCTCCTCCTCCCCCTCTTCCTCCTCCTCCTCCTCCTCCTCCTCCTCCTCCTCCTCCTCCTCCTCCTCCTCCTCCTCCCCCTCCTCCTCCTGGCACCACCGCTGCGCGACGCGCGTCGGGTCGGTGCCCACCGCGATCGCGCGCCCGCGGCCGCGGCCGACGGCGCCCGCGCACGATGGGGACCACCACCTACCACCTTCAACTCAGAGGCCTGAGGGCGGGGGACCCTGTCCCGGGCATCCCTGTCCCGGTCCTGTGTACGGGAGACCATGACAGAGGTCCGAAGGTCCATGCATACAGGGTCGCCCAAGATTTCCGCCGCTCCCACCCAGAGCGACATTAGCCCTACGCGGCCAGGAGCCGCTCTTGTCCTCGGCTTTAATCAACATGAAATCGTCGACTTTCACCCTGAACTACTCAATCACTGACTTCGACTTATCAAATACTATCCCCAGCAGTCATGCCCGTGTGATTGATGCTATTGGTCGTGATACCCATCAGGTGGCACATCTAGTTGGGCAACTGCTGGGCTCATATCTTCACATGATGCACCTCCTCCATGTTGTCTGTTGGTCCATGAGGTGTTGATCGCATTGGCCAGCTGTCGTGATATCCCGGTCGGATATTATTTGAGTTCTGCCGATTTGTATGTACCATATGTGCGTCCCCTCGTGGCAATAGCATGTCCGTTGGTGTGCTGGCAATGCCCATGATGTGTTCGTTGGTCCGTGCTTGTTTTGAACGCTGCGCACAAAATCTGGAGGATCGTGGTCGGCTTCTTGGAAGACCGCCCAAATACGCACTGGTCGAATGTAATTGGGGTCGCGCTGCTTCTCCTCATGAGTTGTCATGTCTCTGGGGGTGGCCAGCGCGACGCCGCCTTTGTACGCCAATTTCGTGCAGGGTGCTCCATAAGCACCGGCACGTACGATTATGATTTTGAACAGACTGCCACCAGGCACAGAGCTGCTCGCAGTAATAAGTTTCCTAGCTCCACCCGATGCCGATATCTTATTTCCATGCAAGGTAATCCCCATGGAAATTCTGCTGTACGCACTGGCGGCGCAATCCATTGTTGGAAATCACCATGTCGCCTGCGCTCCGAGAACAAGCAAAGTATGCATTTGCACGTAGGTAGGCGTACTGGTGCTGACCATACTGGTATGCCATCATCTCCATCGTCGTCCTCCTCTGGGTGATCGCGCCGGTAGCTGCCAATGACATGGTTGGTAGATGAAGCTTCAGCTGGTGCTGGTGCTGGTGCTAATTGTCGCTCAGAGTTGCTCTCGCTGCCGTCAATTGCTCGCGAATTCGTCGCTGCCCTGGGCATGGCGTTCGTCGCGGTGCATCGTGTCGAGCTGGTCACATCGATCCGGTCGCATGGTAGCAATGCCTCTTGAGCTCTGCGATGCGGAACGCGTCGAGCCCCATGAGGTCGCGCGCCTCCTGGCCAGCTAAGCCAGCATGCGGTGCCCCAAGAACTCCAGGCATTCAGGTGAGCGATGTCGTAAGTGCGTTACAGGACTTGGCCTCGCATGGGATCCAAATCTTACAGCAATGGCAGTACGTTCCCG